CCCCAAAACCCCAAAACCCCAAAACCCCAAAACCCCAAAACCCCTTTTAATTTTATATTTATTGAAAATGTCAGAGCATTCACAACAGAAAAAATCAAATCAAGCAACTCCACTTGAAACTCAGTTCAAAGGCAGTAAATCTTGTTTTACATTTAGGCAACAAGCCTAGTCTTATCAAGTTAGATCTTGGTGGGCTTGAAGACACAATCTCGAATTTGTATAGTCAAACTAATAATTTGAAAGAGAAAATAGACAACGTTGAGATTAAGTATGCTTATTCGGTAGACAAAAACTGCTAGAGATCTAACTCTTGGCAGTCCAATTATTCAATTTCAGTACCCACCTGCTCTTGAGGCTTCCAATGCTGCATTCTAATTTCTCCCTATTAATAAATGATGTAGCGAAGAAACTGTGGAAGGCATCATGAAGAAAATAATTGCAAATGAACTCAAAACCAGAGAAAACAAAGATAGCCTCGGTAAGCTTCTCCACTGACAACAGCCAACATCCAGACCAAGATCATTTCGATCGAGCAGCAGCTGCTCAAGAACTCGGAGTTGTCGGCAAAGCTCGACAAAGAGATCCTTGTGGCCAAAGCCAGCGAGCGTGAACTTAGAAGCGCCATGAAACGAGAAATTAAGGCGCTCAACTCCAAGGTGTTCGAGAGTGAGAAGCGGCTTCCCCAGATCGCCCAGCAGTTTTCGAAGCCGATCGAAGATAAATTGATCATGGCCTACTCGCTCATCGACGACTTGGAACGCCAGATGGAGAAGTTCCAGAGAGGCGAAGCCTACAGTTCCAGTGAGGGTGAGTATGAAGATGATTCTGAAATTCATTCTATTGATAATTCAGAGGAAGTTCATATTGAAGAGCTCACATCGCAAAAAGAGCCAGAAGGTGAGAAAACAGACTACCAAGATCCTATAAAAGAGCAAAAAGAAATTATTCCAAAGCCAAAGAAAAGTAGAATTTATAATATAATTTTTAGAAAAGAAGAAAAAGAAAAACAAAGCAAGAGCAAGAGACATTCTAAAAGAGCTACAATCAAAGAAAAACCCAAAATCAAAAGAAGAGCTATCAAGTCCTCAATTCACTCCAGAATTCAAGACAGAAATAGAAAATAGAATTGCAGATCTTGAGATGAAAATAAAATATGGCCTTTATGGCCCAGATGCTCCAGATCTAGAGTTCCTTAAAAAGCAAGCTGAAAATGGGAATGGTGATCAAATCAAAGTTGATTATGGAGAATTTGCAACTAAAAGAGCAGATGGAGAACTTTTTGATGAAGACCAAGATGATGAACGTTTACTTGCTTCTAAATATGCACTCAAAGAAGCACATTACAAAGAGAAAATAAAGAAAAATGATGAAGCTGTTTACATGATGTACAACAAATATAGATATCTAACAGAAGAACTTGATTTATACAAAAACACTCTTATGGACAAAATTACTGAAATTGATGAAGAAGCAGAGGGAGAAGAGCAAGATGAAGGAGAAGGCAATAAAGAAAAGTTTGAACCTATTCTTCCTAAAAAGATTGAAGACCTAACTCCAGAAGAAAAAGATTACAACTTATATATTTTGTCTAAAGAACTCAAATTAACTAGATGGAATAGTACCCTTGATTCTGCAGTTCAAATTTTAAAAAAGAATAATGTTGAGAATAACGCTCATATTAGAGAGCAAAAGGTTTTAATTGATCAAATAATGCAACGATTCTCTAACACTGAAGAGAATACAAAAATTCTTCGAACAGCTCTCAAAGACTTCAAGCTCGAGGTCAAAGATGTCATGAAATCAGCAAAAACAAACTCAGATCTAAGAGATGCTATCAAAGATGGAAAGCTAAATCCATTTAACAATTTTGTCTTACAGCTTTCTCAGCATATTACAGTAATTTTCCTCGTTTACTTTGTAGCGGTCAATCCTATCTTCGGATGAGATTCTTGCTTCATTAGACAAAAACCAGTTCGATCCTTCTGATCTAGAAGAGCAGATGAACCAGCTAAAGCAACAGTTCCATAGCATTACTTTTGATTTAGCTGATAAAAGTGGAAAAAGTTATGTTGATACTATCTTCTCTGACCTTAGAGAAAGCATTCATAATATCGGTCTCCAGATGAACGATGTAAAGAACAGATCAGAGCTTAAAATAACCTCAATTAAGGATCTTGCAAATGATGAAACACTGGAGAAGATCTTTAAAGAACTAGTTGACGGGAGATATAAAGAATATGAAAAGAATTTAGCCAAAGTCCTTGGCAGGCAGGATACAATCCAATCAGATTTAGAAAAATGATTTGAGGATTACCACTACATGATGAGTTTAAAGATCAAAATAGAAGCAAATGAGCAAAGACTTGATAAGATGATGAAGATCCTTGAAAATAATGCTTTTGAAGATGAAGGATTTAGTCCAGATTTGTCGGATGGATCTGTTACTGATGAAAAGCTTGATGAAATGGGAAGTGAAATAATAAAAGGAGAAAATACTGAGAGTGGTGAAGGAGATAAAGAGCTAAAATTGAAAAATAGAAGCAGCAAAGAAATACGTCATTCTGAATCATCTTCTACACTTCAGCCTCCTAAAGATTCCCTGCAGCCGCCTAATAGTAGTAAATCTTCTCGCAAGGCATCGCATTTCCAAAAGAGACCTCACCCTAAACCCTCGAGTAAATAAAATTGGTGCTCTAAAGGTAATGTTTGTGAACATGGAAGCTCAAATGAAAGACATCAAAGCCAAAATGGAACAAAGAGAACAATATGACCAAATAATATCAAACTCAGCAAGCGAGCTTACAGATTCAATGGGAGATACCGAGTCTGTGAGGAATTTGCTTAAACTAGAATTCCAAGGAATGAAACAGTTAGTTGGGAAACAACAAATGAGTATCCTCAAGTAAGATGTCTCACCATCATAGAATTGAAAATGTCTTAAGACTTCTTAATGATTGGAAAAATGAATTAGACATCACTAAGATTTTGCATGATGAGCTAGATGGGCTACAGCTCCAAGACCTTACAAAAGAGTAATTTTAAATCTAACATTTCTAGAAATGAAGAAAAGGAAGAATCAGTAAAACCTGAAAGTCCTGAGAAAAACGCAACAATGGAGGATGATAATAAAAAGCTTCTTGATTTCAAGTTGACTGTTCAAGAAAATGTGAAGAAAGAACTTCATGAAAAGATAGATAGAAGGCAATTCAGACTTGCAAACAACTCCATGATTCGGAAAATGGAGAAGATCGAAAAGAACATCGAAGGTAAGATTCTTCTGGACTCTAGATCTTAGCAAACTAAACAGACAACAAAGAGAATATGCAAAACCTCTTTCTACTCTTTTCAAGACAAATGAGAAATGCATTAGTTGAAACAGAAAGTTCCCAAAAACAAATGATGAGAGCTTAATAGAAGAACAAGACAAAAAGAAAAGGCAAAAACAGAATAAATATGTATTCAAAGAAATTTACAAAAATGCTCCAAAATTAGGATCAGGTTATTCAAGAATTTTAAGTACCCTGAATGATGTCAACGATATCAACACTCTTACTGTAGAAGGCTCATTTGCAAAAACAGAAGACTCTCGAGTTATGATTCCTTCTGTAGAAATTGTTCAAAACAAAAATCATATGTCTGGAATAATGTCGAACCATAGACGCAACAACAGTAACTCCAATCGTAACACCCAGAAAGTGTTGCCTAAAGTAAATTTAAGCGGATCAGTTTCAATTCTTCCCTCGATTAACACAAGCTTGAACAAAGGGGTTAAGGGTGAACCAAAACTCAAGACTAAAAGATTCACCAATAGAAATTTTGGAGGAGAACACACTCATAGAAAATACGGCAGTAGGGATAACGAATTATAAAGTTGAAAGGTAATATAACCAATGATATTCAATATTGTAAGAGTTGTTTGGGGTTTTGGGGTTTTGGGGTTTTGGGGTTTTGGGG